TAGGGGCTGATCTAGATTAAAAAAATAATTTCACACAGTTTTTAGTTAATTAGAATTTTCTTAAATTCTTTTTCAATTTGCTTTTCACTTGTTTCATTGCAAACAATTATTCTCATTTTTGTAAACAACAAAAAACCCCAGTTTATTTTACCTTGTCCCTTAGCTTATTTTTGAAAAAAGTCAATGTTGAACAGTACTTCTGTAAACAAAGTTTAAATTATATTTAAACTAATGTGGCACAGTTAAAAGTTTCACTGGGCTTCAGTTTCCCCCTTGTAAGATTAATCCTTTCAACTCTGAAGTTTTTGAACTGAAGAGTGAGTCAAGAGATCTGCGTTCACTTCGGAATGCCATAAAATATGCCCTAAACAACTTATAACAAGCCACCGTTTGAATTTTTTTTGCCAACATTTTTTATTTTATTTTATTTATTTTATTTTTATTTTTTGCCAACATTTTTTAGTGAGTAAAGTAAATCTAGTCTGCTTATCACTATATTTAATTTGTAAAAACATTGCCAAGATACTGGTTTTAAAAGTACGAAGTCTCCATAAAGACATATAAAGGGATTGGAGATCAAGGGGACCTTCCACCTTTAAGTAGAAACACAATTCACTAATAATGAAGTTCAGAACACCCTTTTTCTATTATAATCATGATCATTATGATGCACAAAAGCAAAAATTGTTACTATTCAGTTTCTTCGTGTGGTCATGTTACTCTTCAAAATATAAAGCTTTATCTATTATTTATTTAAGCAAAAACACAAGAACAATACACCAAACTATGACTGCCTCCCCACCAAAAAAAAAGACACACAAAAAACCCCCCCACAAATGTTTCAGTACCTCCTTCGAATGTATTTATAAGAACAGAAAAAGTCTCTAATTGGAACTTTCTAAAAGCATTTCTCCCCAATTAGAGAGCAGTAATGACTCTAAATGGCACTGTCTTGAGGACAGCTCATCAGTTAATTATAAGGAGTTCTCTAAATTGAGGAGTGAAGAATGATACTAAATTTCAATCAGTGTAGATAAATATGGCTTGTCATTATTCACTTGATATTTTAGACAGTCCATTTAAAGAGGAAGACATGGAACAGAAATATTGTCTTTTCTAAAAGAATAGAGATTATGAGAATCACACTGAACATTTACCCCAAGACTATACTCTTGTCTGGAATATGGTTTTTATAGTCATTCAATTTCCATGATCCCCAGAGACTTTCATTTGCTTGCTCATTTATTTTCCATCTGGCTCCTTCAAATAAGAAAAAATAATATGATATTACTATTGCTGTACTTAACAGCCTGGAAAAATGGGTGTGTATTTTAACTGTGGTAGTTATGTAATTTAAAAATATGTCTATTGAAGTTTCAATTCCTTTTAAGTTTTGTGTTCCAGCATAATTTAGCACTCTGTATTCTGGTAATAAATGTCTTAAAATTCCATAATTTACTTATGTTTATCTCTGAGATTATCTACCTGCCCAGGTTTAATTTACTTTTTACTTAGTTTTAAAAGCAAACGTAAAGAAAACAATTGTTTAAACAGCAAGTTGTCAATACATAGTATTTATCCTCACAATCTTCCAGAATTGCTCTATTACATTTTATTTTCTTCTTCTTCCTTTTTGATATTCTTATGAACCTTTTATCTCTATTTTCCTTCATTTAAAGTTATGCTTTGTTTATTCATGTTCATAGAATTCTCAATCATGTTAAAAACAAATATGGGTTTTGTTTGTTTATTGTCACAGATACCCTCTTGTTATTCTTCACAATCACCTTATTCATGAATTGTAAGTTGGGGACCAGGCTCTGCTTAGAAATAGCCCTTCGTGTTTGTTCCTCTATTCCCAGAGGAGTTTGCTGCACATGCCTCGATCCCTTTCCATCTGGCCTCTGCACAAAGGGTTTATCCCACTTTAACACAATTCTTTGTTTTATGGAGGACCTTGAGTTTATCTGAGAGTGAATACATATGAAACAATAATCATGTTACAGGAGAACCTGATCTGACCTTTTTTTTTTTTTATAACCAAACCCTAAGATGAGAGAGAAACTACACTTAGCCAGTAACAAAGACTAAAGAAGGTAAGGGCTGTAATGATGCCAGATCTGAAACAGTGCTGCAAAAAAGTAAATGTGAAGGGTCTGATTTCACTGGATACTATCCATTATTATAGTGCTTGTGTTTATATGGCTTCAGGAAAAGGGAAAAAATCTTGCTACATTTTTGTGTGTATCATTGAAGAACCTTTGTGAGATTTTCACTTTGTAAGACATTAACAAGAAACAACTATATTTGCATACTGATCTATCCATGAACTTTATTATAATATATTTCTCTCAACAGAAAAATATAATTAAGGTATTGGGCGCCTGGGTGGCTCTGTCGTTAAGCGTCTGCCTTCGGCTCAGGTCGTGATCCCAGGGTCCTGGGATCGAGTCCCGCATCGGGCTCCCTGCTCGGCGGGAAGCCTGCTTCTCCCTCTCCCACTCCCCCTGCTTGTGTTCCTGCTCTCACTATCTCTCTCTCTGTCAAATAAATAAATTCTCCCCATATTTGGCCTAATGAAGGGAATAACCTTTGAACACATCTAGTCCTCATATTCTGAAAGGGTAAGGTGCCTTTTTTTTTTTTTTTTTAGCCACCATTCCTAAGGAGCAGTTATTTGACAGAGAGAGACACAGCGAGAGAAGGAACACAAGCAGGGGGAGTGGGAGAGGGAGAAGCAGGCTCCCTACCGAGCAGGGAGCCTGACGTGGGGGCTCGATCCCAGGACCCTAGGATCATGACCTGAGCCGAAGGCAGACGCTTAACGACTGAGCCACCCAGGTGCCCCCATGAAACCTCATATTTAACTAAAAACCCTCCTTTTAAAATGCATTGCTGGTCTCAGTGTTTAAGTCAATTGATTTTCTTACTTTGTATTCATGTTATCCAATCTTTATTTCTGCAAATATACAGTTTTATAAGGAAATACTTGAGTTAAGAATTTTGTGGTAATTTTGCCTAGTAATAGACTGGAGAAACACAAAATCTAAATAAACAATAAACATCAAAAGGCCAAAAAGAAAACACACACACACACACACAACATATAGGTGCTTTTTTTTTTTAAAGTGCTTTTTTTTTTTTTTCAAGATTTTAGTTATTTGACAGAGACACAGCAAGAGAGGGAACACAGGCGGGGGAGCGGGAAACGGAGAAGCAGGCCTCCTGCGGAGCAGGGAGCCTGATGAGGGGCTCCATTCCAGGACCCTGAGATCATGACCCGAGACGAAGGCAGATGCGCAACGACTGAGCCACCCAGGCGCCCTAAGGTGCTTTGTTTTTAATAATTTATTCCAAAATGTATTTGGAATTTGAGACACAAAGCTGTCTGAATGACTTCATTTGGGTTTGAAAGAGTTTGAGATGCTGATGCAGGTTGTGGATTTCAAATAGAATTACTGGTTTGAAAGGTGGCAACGGAAAGCTGGAACCTAACTGGGTACAGGTTACTTTGTGAGGATCAAAGAAATAGGGCCTCACCTCCCTGACCCCCCAAAGCACACTAATATTTTTTATTGTATGTGCTCTTTTCAGGGAGCTTTAAAACACATTTTTATAATAACAGTATTTTAAACTAAAAATTTACTCATTTTGAAGTAGCATCTAAAACTACATTTGAGAACATTGCTCTTTTTTTTTTTAGATTTTGTTTATTTATTCATGAGAGACAGAGAGAGAAATGCAGAGGGAGAGGGTGAAGCAGGCTCCCCGCGGAGCAGGGAGCCCGATGGGGTACTCAATCCCAGGACCCTGGGATCATGACCTGAGCCAAAGGCAGACGCTTAACCGACAGAGCCAACATTTCTCCCCATATTTGGCCTAATGAAGGGAATAACCTTTGAACACATCTAGTCCTCATATTCTGAAAGGGTAAGGTGCCTTTTTTTTTTTTTTTTTTAGCCACCATTCCTAAGGAGCAGAAATTGTGGGCCCCCAACTCCACATGCTCACATATAATATCCCCAGTGTTTGGCAGCAGTGCTGAACCTTGTGTAGATCCTTACAAATGGACTGGACTTGCCAAAAGGAAAGTAGTTGAAAAGAAGCAAACAGCAAGTTCCCCTTGCTTCAGCTTCCGTGGAGGAAATTCACAAGCTTCTGTAGATTGCAGTGTTAGGAAAATCAAATTTGTCATTAGAACAATGTTACCACTTCCCCACTCTAAGCCTGTTTCAGAGTCTCCACTCATAACTGCTGACTCAGTTTGCCTCCACTGCCAGAACTGAGGCTTGCCCCAAATTTTCTACTGGGTTGATCAGGAACAGACAACAGAGGGACAAACTGATGATCACTCAGTAGTTCTGGGTTTACCAAAGCGTGTTAGTTTGGTCTAACCACTGTGTTTGTTAGGACTGCAAAGGTATAAATACCCTTTATGGGAAGGGGGGTAAAACCCCCTAAAATTTTAGGGCAACCGGCTCAAGGTCACCGAGGGAAGACAACATTGGAGACTGGGCTCTTCAACTCCTCGGTCCAATAATGGACTGGAGCCAAAACAGGACACCATCCAGGAGTTTCAAAGCTGCGTAGTAAAATAGCTAGCGTGGGCAGTCCTTTTGTACTCCAGCTAGAGTAAAATTAACGCAGTCTTCCTTCCTTCCATCGCCGTCTGACAGCATCCAGCAAATGGGTGTAGGGTTGAGGAGAGCAGAACGCAGCTGTCCTTTCACAGCTGAGTCTTTTGAGAAATTGGAACTGAGGAGGGTGAGAACCACGGGAGAGGGGCAGTGAGTTGGGAGAGGAAAAACGGGAGCAGCTGAGTGCCGGGCGAGGGGAAGGAAGCCGGGGTGTGTGCGTCTGGAAGGGAAGTGGGGAGAGGGGCAAGAGTGAAAACCGGGCCAAACTCAAGCTGAGAGAACCCAGCGCCCGCTGCCTGCAGGAGGGGGTGAAGGCGGCCAGTAAGAGTGAGGGGGAAAGCGGGAAGCCGGGGGAAGGGAAGGAAGTAAGGAAAGAGGAAGGAAAGGCAGGAGGGGAGAGAGGAAGAGTGGCTGCAATTTCTGCGGCCGGCTCAGTAGGAGGAGCAGGAGGAGAAAGAGGAGGATCCAGAGTCAGTCAGTCAGGCAGCCAGCGGGAGGTGGAGAAAGCAGGAGGAGGAGGAGGAGGAGGATTAAAGATGGCCACCAACAGCTGCGGGAAACGGCAACAACCCCTCACTTTCCGGGATGGTCCCTGCGGGTCGGCCCGGCCTTGATGGAGAGGAGAAGCCCGCGAAGCGCCGAGGCTGAGGCGGCGGCGGCGGCGGGGACCCAGCGAGGAGGAGGACGCGGGGGAGCAGGGACTGGGGCAGGAGAACGGAAAGGCGGCGGCGTCGCTGCCCCGGCCGCCTAGCGCCGCTGCCCGCCCCGGCGGACCGCTTCCCGCACCTCGCGGCCGCAGAATCGAGGCCGGCGCGCGGCCCCCGTGCCCCGCCGCGGGGCTCCCGGGCCCCGCCGCGGACACCGCGGACGCCGCGCCCGCCGCCCCCTCCCCGTCGCCGGCGCGCACTCGGGCCCGCCGCGGTCCCCGCTCCCGGGCCAGGCCCGCTCGCGCCCGCCCGCCCTCCGGTGAGTGCCCCCGGCCAGCGCCCCCTACCCCACCCCGCGCCCGGCGCGCCGGGGCCGCTTTGTTTGTGCGGGGCGGAGGCGCTGCCCACTCGCGGCCCTGTGCCCGCTGCCCCTGCGGACAGGCCGCGGCCCAGCTGCCGCCCTCCCCCGGGACCGCGCTGCCCGGAGGCGCCGCTGCCACTGGGGTTGGCCGCCTGCCTGGTGTCCTCCACCGCGGCCTGGAGAGGGCGCCGTCGCGGTGGGGTCGGGGTTGGGGTCACGCGCGGCTGGCAGTGGGGAGCGATGTTGGGGTATTTGGGGGGGCGGGGGAGGAGAGGGCTGGACGTTGCAGCTAGTGAGCAGTGAAGGTGTAACCTGGCGGTCCAGGGATAGGGGTCCGGTGAGGGCCCCTTTTCTAGACCTCGCGGGGTCTGCGCTCCCGGAGCCCCCCAGCGCCCGTGCGCAGCCGAGCGAGGCCTCCATCCCTCGGGCGCTGTCTCCAGGGCTGCGGGCCTCTTGCTTATTCCCGAGCCCTGCTCTCCCCCAACGCCCTGTGCTGGAGACGCTTCGTTTATGCAAGGAACCGAGATGCTTGGGGTTTGTGTTTGCCCTTCTATTCTCTTGTACATGGGATGTGGTGGCACCGCAAACATTCACAGTTACAGTGGGATTCAGAAAGCAGATGTGACCTTTCCTACCAAAAGCCATTTGGCCCACCTGGCCAGTGTTTGATCCTCAGGTGCAGCATTTTATTGATTTGTACCATTGAATTCTGAGATCTACAGCATTAGGTCCTCTTTTCGCTGAAATAACCTGATAAAACCTGATTGAAAGGATGTTTACTGTATGTGTGAATCCTTGCCTCTACTTCCAGTGCCTTAAAAAATGGTTGTTTCCTGTGGGAAAATGGTGCTAATGCATAGGAAAAACAGTTTTTTGTTCAGTAATGGGCATGAGTTGGTTAGTGCCAAAATGGTTATTGTAGTCTGAAAACCAAACAATTAAAAAAAAATACAAAACCTTAAGCTTTGAGATAGCAGTATATTTCCAGGTTGGAATTGTTTGAGAACAGGTTTAGAACAATTAGTTTCCACCATCAGGCTACTATAACAAACATAATGTAAAACAGAACCAAAAATATGTTGGTTAAAAAAACAGACTAGGTGTGTTTTAGTGCACAGGTCTAGCAAAAACTAAATCCTGCTTAAAAAAAATAAAACTTTATGGTGGGACTCTAAGCACAGGAAATAGCTTGGTACGTTTTTTTTTTTGTATTTAGAAATACATATTGCATTACACTGAATTGAGAACTCTTGCTAGGATATTTGAGCACATAGGTACATGTTATACTTTGAACTATTCATTCTCAAGCTGCAGAAATACAGATTTATACTAGTTTCTTTTTCTGAGTTGAAATTGATTCATGTAAAAAAATGTTAGATTTCTAATTTAAAATTTCTGCAAAAAGGAGCTATGAATTAGAAAACATGACGTTCTGGTCTTGCAATATCTATTAAACGGGCAAAGAATAAATGACAATATAGTATTTCAATATTAGTTGGATTATCTACTTGGAAGATTCTTAAACTTTGCAATTTTAAGAGTTTACATCAGGCATTCTTAATTTAATGCATGTGCTTCAAAGGGTCCTTGAATCCTTAGAAATTCTATGCAGAATGTAGCATATATTTGGATTTTTTCTGGATAAAGAGTCCATGGAGTCATCACATTCTCAAAAGATGGCTCCACAAAAGATTATGAACTAGTGGATATAAAACTAATAAATCTCTTGTATTTGGAAGGTAAAATTCTTAAAGACTTGATGATTTATATCCTTCACTTGCAGTTATGGCTAAGAAATTTTTATTATGGAGAGTTTAGCACATAGAAATCATTTTCATGCATTCTTATTGAACCCTCAGGACAATGTTAATTGTTAATGTGTTAATTCCATTTTACAGATGAGGAAATAAATATTTAGAGACACTTGTTCAAAGTCACACAGCCACTGGTGGGCCAACATTTGAACCCAGGCTGTCTAAAGTCAGAGCTAGCACTGTTAGCAAGAAGGCTACACTAAGCTTTGAGTCAATGATAACATTTGCTTGATGTTAAAATGAATAACTTATGTTTGTTAAAATTGAAAAGTGGCTCTAAGATTATCATAATATACTGTATCATGGAATTTTAGAGCCATTGACTCCCAAGTAGGAAGAGACCTTAGTGATGCTAACCTCTTTTAATGATACTAACCTGAAATCACACCCAAAGTAGGGCCATTTCTGTGGCATCCTTGGAAGGATTATCCAGCCTCTGATTTTCATACCTATGTGATTACAAGTTCACTTCTTTCTTTCAACATTTTAAATCTTTTTCTGTTTATGTAAGTTAAAATTTGCCTTCCTGACATTTCTGCTAAGTTCCAGTTTTTCTTTTGTATGTATGATTCATTTATCATCCATAAAAGAATTAAGAGATAAATGACTCCTACTCTAATTTTTTTTGTCATCAGGTTTAATGAAGTATAATTTACATGCAGTAAAAGTTTTCACAAATGTATACAATTGGATAATCACCACAATGAAGATATGAAACATTTCCATCACACCAAAAGGCTCTCTCCCTTTGCCCCCAGCCCCTGGCAACTATTTTATTTTTTTGAGAGAGAGACAGAGTGAGAGAGAGAGCGAGCATGAGCAGGGTGAGGGGCAGAGGGAGAAGCCAACTCCCTGCTGAGCAGGGAACCCTATGTGGGGCTCGATCCTGGAACTCCGGGATCATGACCTGAGCTGAAGGCAGACGCTTAACCGACTGAGCAATGCCCTGGCAACTATTAATCTAATTCATGTCCCTGTACTTTTTTCTGGAATATCACGTAAATGAAATCCTACAATATGTAGTTTTTTGTGTCTTCTTTCCCTTAGCATAATGATTTTGATATTCATTAAATTGTTGCATGTATCAGTAGTTTGTTCAGTGGTATGCTGATAAATGTTGTAACAATGTGCTCTCCAAAGAAAAAAAAATTCCACATTTGTAGTATTTGCTAGTTATTGCAGCATAAATACTCTTACCATGGCCTATATTAAGATATCTTGAGTCATGCCTAGTTTGGGTCAGTTATGAATAAAGCTGCTATAAACAATGTGAGGGACAAATGTTTTCAGTTTTTTTTTCTTTTTTTTTAAAAGATTTTATTTATTTATTCATGAGAGACAGAGAGAGAAGCAGAGGGAGAAGCAGGCTCCCCGCTGAGCAGGAGCCCGATGCGGGACTCGATCCCAGGACCCTGGGATCATGACCTGAGCCGAAGGCAGACACTTAACCCTCTGTGCCACCAAGGCGCCCTGTTTTCAGTTTTCTTGAGTTGTACCTAGGAATGGGATTACAGGGTCCCAAGAGAAGTATGTATTTGTCAATTGCAGTAACTTTATATTGAATTGCCAAACTTCTCCAAAATGACTACTGTTTTGCATTCCTACCAGCAATGTTAAGAGAATTTCAGGTGCTCTGCATCCTTGTCAGTACTTATTATTGTCAGTTATTAAGCTTTTAGCCATTATTATGTGTGTAGCAGTCCTTTAACGTTTTTGACTTTTTAACTCTGATTTTCAATAGTATTTGAACCAATATAGGAAGCTTATGACCGGCATTGCTGAGTAATTTTTTTTTTTTTAATTTGGTCATCAGTCATGATCTCACTGTGAAAGCTATAGCACTCAATGTTTTTTTTTTAAGATTTTATTTATTTATTTGAGAGAGAGAGAATGAGAGAGAGCACGAGAGGGAAGAGGGTCAGAGGGAGAAGCAGACTCCCTGCTGAGCAGGGAGCCTGATGTGGGACTCGATCCTGGAACTCCAGGATCATGACCTGAGCCGAAGGCAGTCGCCAAACCAACTGAGCCACCCAGGCGCCCTCAAAGAATGTTTCTTGATTTCTTATTATGAAATTGCCTTTCATGTTATTAGAACTGGTTTTTGAGAGGAATCATTAGGGAATTCTAAAACTTAGCTGTTAACATTTTCAAAACGTGCCTAAGAAAAAGCTACGTAAAGCTTTTTTTCGTAAAAATTTAGAATTTAAGAAACCTCAAATTATGAAGCATTCTTTCAACTTTTGCTTGAACTTAAAAGAGACTGAATTCAGTCATGTAGACTTTGAACTCATCCAGGAACTTGTAAGAAGTGTTAATACATAAATGTAGCATTACTTTTCTGGTAATTAGAAAAATTAGAAAATTAGCTAATTTTCATGTAATATTAATGTGTATTTCTGATTAGGTGTATTTGGGGTTTTTTTTTGCTTGTCAAGTTTGTCAAGTTTTATTTTTTTTTTATATACTAATGTGTAAGCATTAATGACATTTAGAGTGCTGATTTTATTCTGGGAGATAAAATGGTTTTTAGTTTTTCCATATGGAGTGACAACACATTTGAAGGCTAATCATTTAAATATTTAAAAATGGTACATTTGTGATATTTGAGCATACATCCTTAACTGTCACTTGTTGTATTTTACCAGTCCAAACCTAACTTACTTAGCTCTAGATTCATATATCCAGCTGCTAGCTTAGACACATGCAACTGAGATGTTCCATAGGCATGTGAGCCTCAACCTGTCCAAACCTCAACTCATAACCTTTTCCCCCACAAAATGTCCTCCCTCCTCCTGTCTTCTCAAATTGAGGAAATGCCATTCGAATCTAGTGTGTCACTAGGTGGACAGCTGGCTGTCATCTTCCACTCCTCTGTCTTCCTCAGTTTCCACTTCCGGTCAAATACCAGGTCCTATTGCTTTTGTCTTCTAAGTACATCTCCTCTACGTTCTCAGAGGCCTTTCTTTCTTTGGGCCTGCTGAATATTTCTCTGCTGAAGTATTACAGTGCTCTTCTCTATACATGCTTTCCTTAGCTCTAGGTTCACTCTGCTCATCAGTTCCTCTCACACCCTTTCCAAAACAAATACTCTTCTGATTTTGAAAAATACACAGTTGTGATCTTTTCAATATGCATTTTTTTTCCTCTTTAAGATCTTTTAATAGATCCTGAGTCATCAAAGAGCCATTAAAGCATGGGGTTCTAGTCGGTACAAAGCTCTTTGTGACCTGGCTCTAGCTTCTCTGGTCTCATCCCTGACAACCATTCATTTGTTCATTTAAAAAGAAAAAAGATTTTGGGACGCCTGGGTGGCTCAGTAGGTTAAATGTCTGCCTTCGGCTCAGGTCATGATCCCGGGGTCCTGGGATCGAGCCCCATGTCGGGCTCCTTGCTGGGCGGGGAGCCTGCTTCTCCCTCTCCCTCTGCCTGCCGCTCTCCCTGCTTGTGCTCTCTCTCTCTTTCAAATAAATAAAAATCTTAAAAAAAAAAAAAAAGATTTGCGTGTCTGCTCTCCACTCTGCGGAATGCTAGGTGAAAGAGTTTTATCAAGGAGCTTAAATTCTAGAGGGGGACAGATGACAAGTGTATACTATTATCAGGTGGCAATAAGTGCCTTGAGCAACATAAGGCTGGGTAAGGAGTTAGGGAATAGTAGGTTGCTGCTGTGGGTGCCCGTGCTATTTATAGAGGGCTGTGTGAGAAGGCCTCCGTTACCGTGGCGTCTGAGCAGAGACTTGAAGTGTTGCAGGGAGTGAGAGTTTTAGATTTGTGAGAAAAGCAGGTGCTGAGGCCTTGCAGAGGGAGGGTGCTTGAGATGTTTAGAGAACAGGA